TCTAATGACCTGGTAATGGATCATACAGATTATTTGATATCTTTACCAAACATGTATGACTGTCTTCTGAATATGTACAGGTCGCATGTTCATTTGAGCCTTCGAAATATAATATTTAGCATCAAGGGATTGATTGTTATGTAACTGTTTTCTCCTTAATAATATGTACACTGGAAAACTATGATTGACCAGGTGCCTTGAGCATCACGTACTGCTCAACTTGGTCTGTTTAGTGAAATAACTCGACGGCGTCAAAGATGAAGTTGGGACTCAGGAAGTCAGCACCAGAGCTACCAGAGATGACCTCGATAGTAATGGTATTGGTGCCAGCCTTGAGGGTGCCAGCAGGAATAACAGCATCGTATACCTCACCGAATCCACGGTAAGCTCCCCGCGTGACACCCCGAGAGTCAATCTTGACGGGAGCATCGAAGGCCTTCTTGAAGCTACCGATGGTGACCTGAGGGCGACCACTTGCAAATGCAAGAGTGGTACCAATACGAAGAGTTGCTTGGGTGGAGATGGCAGAGGGAAGATTAAACTTGATAGTGACTGGGTTGTTGACAGACTTGAAGATAGCCATGGGAAAGTCACCAACAGAGCTGGAGCCTACAGTGTAGGTGAGAGGGCCCCAGCTGGCCATGCGCTTGTCACTAGGATGCATGCGAAGCTGGTTGGCAGCGTTGCGGAAACCCTTGGGCTGGCCATCCCAATCGCCAATGCGAAAGACAGAGGTGTGCTTTCCTGTGGTAATGTCGGAGTTGGCGGCGATAGAAGAAGAAGCAGTACTGCCAGCAGAGACGCCCACGCTCTTAGAAGCAACCTTGAGCTCACTCTGGTAGAGAACTTGAGTGTAAGTTCCCGGTACCATGAATGGAGATGTGAAGGCGCCGTTGGAAGAGGTGTAGGCCCAGTACTGAAAGTCTTTGTTGAACCAATGCACAACACCCTGAAAGCCAGACTGAACACCAGTGGCGGTGCCACTCACTCGGCCGCGGGAGGAATCGGCGGTGTAGTTAGGGATGGAAAGATCTTTGAAGAAGGACATGTCAATATCCTGGGCTTTTGGAACACCAGATCGTGAGAAGGACAAAGCGTAAGGGCCATGGAAGCCCTGGCGGAACTCCTCAGTCTTGGCATGGCCGGAGTTCATATAGAAGGTAAGGGCACTGAAATCACCGTTGTTGTTGCTGTTGATGTCACGGAAGAAGGGACCGCCTGAGCTTTTCTCGTAGGAGCGCGAGGCGTGAGTGACCATACATGCGTGCACATCCTTGGCGCTACTCTGGAAGCACCAGACATCGTTGTCGATGAAGCGCTGGGACGAGTAGAATTTGGAACGGGTCTGGCCGTTGACATTGAAAACGTCAGAGCCCTCAACCGCAGAGCCACCTGAGGTATTGGAGACTTCGCCAAAAGGTATCTCGTTGGGCAGTTGAGAGCGATCGAGGCGAGTAATGTAGCGAAGCTCGCCAATAGCCGGTTGGGATTTTGTATCAGTGGCCATGTAGACCATGCTCTGGCCATTCTGGACGACATAGTAGTGAGTTAGATCAAAGTCTCCTGACTTAGTGGTACATGTGATCTTAATATATTTGTCTATGCCGGAGTCAGTGTTTTGTAGCGTTTGACACACATTTTATACTCACTGTTAAGAACAGTGGATTGGACATTGGACGATCCCAGACCAGACGCAATGTGAGAAGTCTGAGACTTGTACTGGTACTCAGCTCCTCGGAACTTGATCGAATTAATGGAGCAGTCACTCTTGCTGACGGTGACAGAGAAACCGTTGGAGTTGCCAGAGTCAACAACAAGATTGTTACCACTGGTGGTGACGCCAAAGGCTGCCAGAGCCGGGGCAGCACTCGCAAGAGCACCGAGATACTTGAAGCTGACCATATTTACGATTACCAGATCGCCAAGTAAGGAAAGTATAAAAATAAGATGAAGGACTAGCGAAAAGAATGTCTTCGAATGTAACGAGAGGCTTGAAGACGATCCAAAGAAGCAAAAGGGAAACCGTATTAAGTTTACAAAGGCGTAAGATGAGTATACATATAACCACCCATTGCATGCTTGGCGGAGTGCTCCTTAGAACTCCAGAGGTATAATGATACAGGGAAGCTAATTGGAGGAGAAACGTTAAGCATAGTCGATATGGGAAATGCTGAAACAAACGCTAGTTTTCCGAACAATGTAGCGATGCCCGTGCTTCTAAGACCAAGATTGGGGGCATGGATGGCAGCTCCCAGCGGACGGCTTTTCCCCTTAAAGTGAGCTCCTCTCGGTGATGTTTTGAAAAGAATGCCGAAACTGCCGCTTTATGTTTGCCCAATTCGGGGGGGAGTTGCAACGAAATATCTCCGAAGTTGACGTGATACCCTTTTATGGTATCTTGAGAGAATGGTATTGGTGGGGAATTGTCCACTTCAACAGAACCCTTGGCATGCCATTTCATATTACAACCTGTATCATTATATCACAGTACCTATGTCGCAAGAGCTAATTGTCAAAGTATGAAAATTGGCTTCCGTTCAATATTTCCTTTGTTCGGTTCATTCATCCTCAGTCAGATGCCCATATTGCAACAATCTTATCCCGAAACGTTCGTGGTCATGACAAAATCCTGAGTCTAGTAAAGACTTTCCAGAGCAATCCACAAACAAGAAATTACCACGATAGTGATCCCACTTGCCGAAGCTCTTGAACCCTGGTTGGATCCCTTACTGCTCTGTCCTTCAGCACGTCCATCACCATTCCCTTGACCATCATGCTCAATTCGAAAATTATAGTCATCGGTATATCCCGCTGGCTCACATTTTGTCCCTTCAGCCATAGACATCTTGATCGACCAGTGTCCACCTGCGCATCTCTGAAATGAATTGGTCATACAGTGCCATTGACCCTCTGTACTGCATCCTGAACCTGCTTCCTCGTCGCGTTGAAACAATGTGTTTCTGGCACCTTTTGAGTTTGGTGAGGCCAGAACGAGGCAGGAGAAGAATAGAAGAAGTACCACCAATGTGTCTGGTAGCTGACAACTTGAGGTAGGACGCATTTTGATGTAATTGGGCGCTCCGGATTCCGGATGAGATCGGCGGCTTCGGAGGCGGAGCCGGCGTTTTGTGGGGATAGTTAGTGGACCGAGGGGAAGAAACAAATGACTTCTAGAAATTGTAGATCTTTGTTTCAACTTCAAACAACTCCAAAGCCGCAGAGACTAGAGGTTTAAATACTTTTCCCCTCAAACCCCGATACTTAATCTCATTTCCTATTCACATACCGCCTCAAATCGCCTCGCCTTGGCTCGTATGAACTGTTGCTGCCCAGCGTGGGTCATGTACTGGACGTGGATCAGTCTCATTGGAGAACTCGAGAAGGAAGACAAGCGACAATGGGGAGATGGCTTTTTGGCAACAAGGCTCGAGGCCTGTCGCACTGTGCGATGGAGTCTCAGTTGTGATGCGACTTGCATAGGTGATAGGGTTGAGGTAAGTTGGGCTTGAAGTGTGGTTTGATGCTGCAGTTGTGAGTGCTTGTGGCAGCTCATGAGCCAATCAAGGATAAGGCGGGCATCCTGGAACGACGTTGAATCACTTTGTACCTGGCAGTTAGTAACTGACCAATTCCGAAAGTCCTGGATTTATTCTTCGACCAGGCAGTTATGCAAACTCATTTGCGACCTGGATTAGTTTCGTTCACCACATCAGAGGAATAGTCAGGCACCCTGTGAGCTGAAGGGCCGCAACCATAATTGTGAATTGAGATGGAAATGAATGAGCGTAGATTTAAATAGCCCCGGCTTCCTTGCTTAAGGTATGAAATGAATGCAGTGTCTTGTTGTCAACCCCCTATGTCTCTCCGCTTCCATCTTCAATTCCCTCCGCCAACATCCTGTTCCGGCAGTCGTCTCATGATCTATGGCTTCCCGCGTTGCTGGATCAGACATACTCAGAGGCGCTGACTGTCTTGGTTGCGGCCAGCTGGTCCTTGATCTTTCGAGACCGCTCCCTGTAGAACATGCAGGCCACTCCGACGATGGCGACGAAGAAAACAGAGCCGATCATGACTCCTCCAATGATGACTGCCTCATTGCGGCTGCCAGCCTTGTCGGCAATGTACTTGGCAGAGCTATCGTTGCCATTGGTGCCGAAGGGATTCATAGAAGAATCCATGATTGTTGTAGAATGTGAAGTCCAGGATTTTGAAGTCCGATATCTGTGGTGTTTCTAAGCTTGTTGGTTAGTGCTCCTTGTCCAGGGCGGCAGAGACTAACAAACAGTTTTGTATATGTTGGATGTCGGCACAAGATCGTGGGTCAAAGAATGGCAACTTGAGTAAAATTGATTCACTACTTGCACCAGGCTCGCAGTGTGTGAGAACGAACAGAATGATTGAAATGGGCATTTCTTTCCTTGGGTTTGGCCAACATTTGTACTATTTCGAAAAAATAGTATGAATGATGAGTCGTTTTCCTGTTAGTATTGTTCTTGAATAATGTGGATTTCTGCCTCTCCTGAATGTTTCGGCCTTTTGTTTATGTCTGTCTCTAACATGCGGCCAAAACTGCCAGGCCCGTGTGCGCCGTCACTTCTAGAAGCTCTGAGATGATATATCATTCTTCTAGTCACAGCCAACACACTAGTACGCCATCAGATTATATACAACAGCTATAGTGTACACTCTAGCAGGGTTCAGCCAATTTCGTTACACAAAACATAAGTTTCATGCCTTGCTCTGCACCTTTGTTTATAGAAAGATTGGTGTTGATTGGTATTATTCATTACATGCGGCAAAACGTCCCAGCGCTTGGTCCGCTTGCCTCCTTTCGCTGGGTCTATTATAAACTATGCCCAATATTACAACGAAACCATCATGATATGTCAGTTATCCTCCCTGTTCGCTGTGCTTCTTACCCTTTTATCTATATCCTCCTTTGAATGCATGCTGAACTCGCGACTGAGTGATGCTGTTAACTTTTCACAAACATCCCGAAATCAGATCGCCAGTGCTGTTCCATTCCAGGCCGGGTAGGAGGTGTGCCATGCGCCATTATCGTGTGTCTTTGAGGCTGAGCTTGATTCAGGGGTGCTGATTGAGGTGGTAGTGGTAGTCAATGTGATCAAAGTCGTTGGCGCTACAGGGGGCTCATGAGGTACGGCAGCAGTAGACCAGGATTGATCCTGAGTCGCATGGCTTTCAACAAAGGTACCCTGTGAAGGAACAGGCGCCACTGGAGCGTCCGGTGTAGGACGTTCAGTTTGTTCTGGAGCACCAGCACTCTCGCTTGTCTGGGTGAGGACGGTAGTCGGCTCCGAAACCGGGGCTGGGCTTTCGATAGTAGGAGGAGGCTGAACAACTGTCTCAACGGGTGGAGGATAGTCAGTGACGCAGGTGGTTGACGATGTTTCAGTAGTCTGAGGCGACTCAACGTTGGTAGGTGATTCGGACTCAGGCTCAGGCTGAGGTATGGGCTGAGGCTGAGGTTGAGATGTTACACCTGGGGCGGTAGCCGAGCTTAGATCAGTTGTACTTTGGGCAATCGGCTCTCGCTTGTCGGTAGTGATACCGTGCTCTTGTGTGGTTGTCGGCTTTGAGCTGGGGTGAGGGACAGTGACCGTCTCAGTGACTGGCTCATCGTCCATGTTGATGACCGAAACAGTAGTAGGGACTGCCTTGGTGACAGTCTTTCCAGGAGCAGTGACGATACTAGGCTTTTCGGTTTGCGTGACAATTTTTGTGACTGGCTTTCGTGTCACTGTTCGGATAACTGTCACCACGCCATCTCCGTCGTTGCCACTACCAGTACTACCGCCACCGCTGCCATTACTGCTGCCCCCATTCCCATTTCCGTCTCCATTTCCTCCACCAAGGTCGCCTGAGGCGGGGTCGTCGTCGCCAGGTTCTAAAGGAACGACTGAGTATTTGGGTTTGGCTGTAGCATCGCGGGGCACGATTCTAGGCTGGGGAAGTGCAATGACGGTGGTATAAGAAGCAGAAAGAGCCAGAAGAAGGGGGATGAACCCGCGCATCTTGACAAGGCTATTTCGCTGAATGCGTGTGGTGTTTGTTTGCAGGGAGTGAGTTCTGTGTTATTTTGTATGAAGAAATAAGAATTGGGCTCGCGGTGGTTCTTTAAGGCGCTTGCGGATGCTGGCACTGGCAGCTAACAAGAGACCATCAACAGCGAGTAAATGCCATGAGCGATTCACAACTGAGTGAAGGATAATCACAGTCTCAAAATGAGAGACAAATGTTGAATCTTACGTGAAACTAGGAAGACAGGACAAGAGAAGATAGAACAAACCTGGCACGTCCTAGGAATAGTTTTATTAATTGCAATTGAGATGGCTGGTGAAAGCTCCTATCCCTAGCAGGTGTTGAGACGTGAATTCATGGGAGGTTGGAGTGACACCAAAAACACACTAGCATCTTCTGGTCAGGAACAATCGGGGGGTTCTATGGGCGTTGGGCCTAGCGGGAGATTCACCAGCCACCTGCAAGAGCGCAATCTAAGAACTTGATTGGCTGAATGGTGAGCCAACGTTATCTTCAACGCATCGTTCAGCTGCAAAGCATTGGTGGGGTTATCCGAAAAATGCCAATAAACGAGTTCGATCCTTTATTTGACCATCTCACGTGGTCTGTCTACTCTATTCTTTAGCCTTCCAGATCCTCTCTTTGTTGACTCTGCTCTGGAACTATGATGAAGATGAGTTGCGCGTTTGTGGCGGTGGAGTGGCGCTTGTGTCATTGAAGTGGCTGGAGCACGTCTCCGAATCCGGCAAATCCAAGAACCAAGACTGTCTGAGTCGTTTTTAATTAGCAGAGGGCCAGAACCCATGATCAACAGCAGTCAGGTCATGCGATGACGACTCGCACGATCTTGGCAGCGAGCCCTTATTCCTCGCACATCCATCAACACACCCACTCAGCCTTTAATGGGACGGACCTCGAATGAGTGGCCATTCAGCCATTTTGCCGGGAATAGGTGACAAAAAGCGTCTCCGCATCCTCATCAAAAGACTGGGCTACCATGCTGAGGAAGCGGGTCAGGCATAGATCCTTTGACATTTATTGCCTGCCTGCGTCTGCCCAAAAGATTTTGAGCTCTTGCTGCATGTTATCCGAGTCTCGGCTGCATTGACCAGATGCTTAAATCAAGACGCCCCTGCCAAAGCCTTCAAATGAGGGGCAAAATCATGTCAACAAGACGTTCTGTTTGGTGAAGATGACGTTCCATCCGATCCTAAGTTTAGTATCTTGGCTGTTGGCTTGCTCCGCCTCTGGGCAACCCACATGGATCGCCATTATTGAGATAGCGCCTCAAGGCTGAGCAGCATATGCGCGTCTCTCTTCAGCCCAAGGGAACTCAGGTACCACAAGTAGGTAGACTAGGTAGGTAGTTGGGTCTTAAATAAGAGGCCGAGTAGCCACTGTCCATTTCCATCCCGCTAGCACTTCCGAGCATACATACTCTGTTTGTACAAAACCCATCATTTCCCCTCCATCACCCCGCAATATCCATACAAATTTCACATCACGTCACAATAGCCATACGCACCATGTCTTACCAGGGTTACGGTGCTCCCTACGGCCGTAAGTAAACTGTCCATGTCACACGAAAGGCAAGGCAAGGCAATCAATCTGACTGGATCAACATGTAGAACCGCCGCCTCCACAAGGTTATGGCCAATATCCCCCACCACAGCAGCCGTATGGTGGTTATCAACAACCTCCTCCTGGACAATATCCCCCTCAGCAAGGCGGGTATCAGCAACCTCACGGCCATTATCCTCCCCCCGGAGGTCCTCCCCAATCTCAACAACCTTATGGTGGATACCAGCAGCAACCTCCTCCTCCACAACAGTACGGCGCACCTCCAGGACCTCCACAGGGCCATTATGGCGCGCCTCCTCACCAGCAACATAATCAAGCCTACGGCCAACCTTCACCTGCGCCGCCCAGTCACTACGGCGCGCCTCCGCCTCAACAGTATGGAGCGCCGCCAGTCCAACCGACTCCACCATCGCTTGGCTACGGACCGCCTCAGATCATCCAATGGGATGGTGGTCCCGACGCTGACGCTCTGCGCAAAGCAATGAAGGGCTTTGGTACTGATGAGAAAGCTTTGATCGCCATCTTGGCCAATAAGGACCCTCTACAAGTCGATGCGATCCGCGCTGCTTACGAACGCAACCATCGTCGCAAACTGGTCCCTGATATTCAGAGTGAGACAAGTTCATGGTTCCAGAAGGCTTTGGTCTCACTGGCCCGTGGTCCGCTGCTGTCTGACGTGCACGCCCTGCATGACGCCATGTCTGGACCTGGAACTAAAGAGGTTGTTCTCAACGACGTTCTGCTTGGTCGATCAAATGCAGATCTCAAGGCAATCAAGAGCGCGTATTATCAAACCTTCCACGACAAGCTCGAGGATGTAGTGAGGGGCGACTTGAGCATGAAGACTGAGCGACACTTCATGATTGTTCTCGGCGCTACAAGAGCTGAGGACGATGCGCCGGTCGACCCTCGACAGGTTGATGACGACGTCATGCAGATCTATAAGGCTACCGAGGGCAAGATGGGCACCGACGAAATTCTCGTATGCAGCATTCTCAGTACAAGAAACGATAATCAGATTCGCGCCATTGCGCACACCTACAAGCAGAAGTTTAACAAGGACCTTGAAAGGGTTATCAAGAGCGTGAGTACACTTGAAACCATAGTCATAAACAACTTACTAATGTGACCTAGGAATTTTCTGGCCACATGGAGGACGCTCTCCTTTTCCAGCTACGCAATGCCACAGACAAGTACATGCATGCAGCCAAGCTCCTTGAGGATTCAATGGCTGGCATGGGAACAAAGGATCACCTCCTGGTTTCAAGAACAATTCGCTACCATTGGGATCGAAACACGCTCAACAACGTCAAGGGTGCATACCAACAAAGATACGGTAAGAGTCTGGGCAAACGGATTTACGGCGAGACATCGGGTGACTATCGAAAAACACTGCTCGCAGCAATCGGTGAGCCTTATTAAAAGGTGGAGTGGAGTAAAAGACAAATGAGAGGGTGGGTTTCGCGATTAGAAGGATATGGTATGGATTCGAGACGGGCTTCACAGCCTCTCGCGGCCGGTGCTCAATGTAATGAGGGCCGTTTGCTATGACCGTATGGCGATGGGTTGTCTTGAAATTGGATGGCTACGGGACCTGTGGAAGATGAGATTAAGATACCAAGTATGAATTAAGAATTATATTTACTGCTAATGCGTTTCTAAGTAAATTATATATATATAACCTTAGTTTTACATTACTATATAGATATTTTAAGTTTTTAATAATCTTAAATATAAATACTAAAGCATATCTTTAATTAGTACTATATTAGATATATAAACTATTAAAAAGATAAAATGTCTCTATAGTAATACATAAGGTATAGCTAATAGGGTCTTATAATAAGAATAATATAATATAATGCTTATTTTTCAGCATATTATATATAAGGTATTATATACTACGCTAAAAACACAATAACTTTAAAAGTAAGTCTTAAAGTTATACGGCGCTGCTGCCTTCAACCTTATGATCTAACTAAACAAGTAATAGATTAGATCAGGCCGCAAGGCAACGCAGAGCGGTACGGGGAATGTTGAACCGGGTATAGACCGTGATAACTAGAGGGTTACTAACTAAGGTGGCACACCTTGTTTTTGGTTTGACGGTTTAACAGGGAACATAAATCGAGGGCAAATACAGCTAATAAACACTTGGGATATATGGACTATAAAAGTAATAATAAGTTATAAGTTTTAATAAATAAGTTTTTTATTATTAATTTATTTTAATATACTTTAGTACTTAGGCATAAACCATCACGTGACCTTTCCCCACTCTGTGAAGGTATTTCTGAATCACGCTAGCGCTATTAATGCACTAAAGAAATTTTATAAAGCTAAAGGCTCCCCCTTTTAAGCAATAACCCTCCCTGACTTTTTCCACGCCCTTGGCGCATACGGAACCCCTGCTAACGTTTATGCCCCTAGCGCGCAAGCAAGTGTGAACGCGTCCTGAAGGCATTTGGCGTTTGGGCACAGAAGAAGGCACGACGATATTCATCTGAAGGCTTACAGTAATCAGCCCTGTTCGCTGCTCACTCTCTCGCTTTCATTATATTCCTTTTCTCTCTCTTCTTGATTTGGGCCTCATTCATTCTAAGGCCATATTTCGATGATAACTGTGCGGTCACCAGCAACTCTGGACACACTCCTCTCAAGTTTCTGAAATTCTGAGATAAAGTTAGCCACTGAGAACGAGGACGAGCGCGACCTTTCTCTCTAGAGTGTTCGGGGTCTAAGGATGGCTACACAAGCTACATCTCCGCCAGCTGGTGTACCATTGCAGAATGGTATAAATGGTGCAAAAAGTCCTAATCCAACCATCGCTCATCCGTACGGTCAAACACCAGTACCTCTACCGAGCTATGCTCCTACTTCGCGACCTGCATCGGTTGCCTCTGCTCCTACTGCGCAAAAGCCAAGCGCTTCACCCGCGCCAGCAACTCCTTTTCTCCCACCAGGACATCAACAATCACCGCCAATACAGACAAATCGTTTGAGCCAGGCAATTTCACAGCGGCCTCAGACGCAGACACTCAACGCCTCATCACAGGCACAAGGCCTGATGTCGCCACCACTGAATCAGCCGTCGCACTCCGTCGAGTCCTCAAATCACTACCATGAGTTGACTACTTTAGTGGAAAAGACGCCGGCTGATGTTGTTCGCCAAGTTGTTCGAGACAAATGGGAAAAGTCTCTTGCGGGCTCACAGTATCATATTGCTTTCTTGGTAAGTTTCTCGTGCGCCGCATTCTGGTTCAAGTCTATCTCGAGTCACATCCTCAGAGCGCGTTGGTTTCATCACAGCTCCGACACTCTCTGGTCATGCTTCGTACGACTTGTTAACTTTTTCACAGTTGAATGCAACCATGCATCAAGCATCCCCGGAGACTATCGCCAAGGCCGTCCAGGAGTTTGGTGCAAACCTGGTACAAAAGTCTAAGCGCGAGTTATTGGGTCACCTCAACGCCAGTGACTTTGACGAGCTCGCAGACTTGATACTCCCTCGGGTTAGTACACAGTTTCTGGACAGGGCCCTTGCAAGACGTCTGGAGACGATACCAGCCCGGCAGCTTGTCAACGCGTTGGCGCGTGCAGAACGGCTGGGCTACGATGTCAAGGATATCGTCCAGGAGCATAATGAGCATGTCATCCCTTCTTTGCACTCGTTGCCGGTGCAGCCGCAGCCGCAGCCCATGGGGCCTCTAACAAACACGACACTTAGTGCGGCACAATATCATACTCCTCCCGTCGCTTCGCAAACTCACCCAGCGCCAATGCAATATGGTAATAAACCAGCGACTCAAACTCCAGCGAAGTTTCAGACTCCGGCGAAGTTGACGCCAGAACTTGCAGCGATCGCTTGGTGCAGGTGTGGTTGGCCATGTGCTTCTCAAGCGGCACTCGACTATGTAAGTTACCAATTCAAATAAGTCAACTGGATTTGTCTAACAACGAATAGCACCACAAGAAGAGCGCCTGCCACAGAGTCCAAGCAAATGACGTAGTTGGGAGAGACGTCTGCCTCTTCTGCGGTTGCAGATTTGGCAGTGGTGGTGGTTTACTCTACCATGAGAAGTCTAGCGTCTGCGGAAACCACTCTCGCGGCACTGCTGAAATGATGCGGAAGTTGCTTGTCCAACTTCGTCCTGAGGATCCGCAGCCTCCTGTGCCAGACCCCTCTACTGGAATTACACGTATCCCATACACCCAAGTCCCTTTACAGTCGATGCTGCCCCAAACGACCTGGGCTAACTCAACGACATCACAACCTCCTACTGGAACTCCAAGTCGTGATTCGGGTCGCGATCCATACGCCCACCTCAGCCCTGAAGATTTGAAGAGGTTCAATGATATCATGAAGAATGCTGAAGAAAAATACGGAGGTCTAATGAAAGAAGCTGCGCTTCTCGACGAGCCAGAGAGGACGAAAAAATTGGCAAGTCTGAAGAACTCATATAACACAAAGCAAAGTACCACTCGCAAGAAATTTGGTATCCGACTTCGCGAGAGGCGAACCCGAGGAGAGATTGAAGCTGAGGAGGCTCGACTAATAGGGACTCCAAGTAGCACCGCGACTCCACCTGCTACAGCCGCATCTGACGGCGATATTCGCTCAAGGAAGAGGGCACGAACCGACGATGACCAGTTGCCGTCATCGTACGCGACTAACAGGACTCAAGAAAGTCCCCAGAAGAGGGTTCCTATGTCAGAAATGGGTGGGCTCTCGGGGTCATCAGCAACCGCGGAACTCACAGATCCTACGGCATACTTGAACCCAGCTCAGCCCCGTTATGTGCCGCCAAAACCAGCCGCAATCGGTGGCCAGTCTGGTGTGCTTGGTTCTGCGGAGCGAACCAGACCCTCGATGAGAGGAACTCTCGATGATCCTATGCCAATTGACGACGACGACAATTCGGAAACAGACAGTGATAGCGATAGTGATAGTGATAGCGACGGCGACATTCCGGCTACTATCTCCTGATTTTACAGATTCGCGGGCATGAGCATGGCGTTCGGGATTGCACGATTTGATACCCCTGACTTCAGGATGTGAAAGCACAGGAAAGTCAGGATTGGGGTGCATTGGGGACGGAGTTAAATAAGCATTTTGATGCACGCCGATTAATACAATCAATGATGCTGCCCCAAATCAACAAAAGGGCCAATGGGAATCTTGGAGGGCAAGACATCAGAGTTGCTTCCAGGACAACTGGGTTTTTGGCTGGTAGCAGTAGTTTCTAAATGATCTTGGGTCGAAACAGACGTCGAGAAAATATCCTTAGGGGCATATGAGCATGTACATATTGCACTGGGAATCTCGACGCGAAAAGAAAAAAAGAGTTTTGGAGTCAATAGGTATCATCAAACAGCTGTATATCATTAATATAATACCTAAAGATATTGACGACTCTTAGTGAAGGCTCAGGCTGTAAGCAATGTTGCAATGCTGCAATGCTGTGCGCAATCGCAAAAGCAACGTCTGTGGAATATTCGAGTATTTTACTTGAAGCTGTAGATGTTTCGCAGCAGAGAGAAGAAACATCACCAACAAGAATTGATGGGCCCATTCATGACTCGGTATAACTTCAAGTCACGAGAGGTTTAGCTTCTTGAGCAGGCCGCGACAGGCGACAGGCGTTTCAGCCAAGAGGAAAGGATAGGGGCGATAGAATCGAGACCGTGCCTTGGACAGCCGCCCGGCTAACAAAGTTCACGGACAAGGGCGGGTATGTTTAGTGGAGGCCTGCGCAAACACTGAAGAGACAAAGCCTTGTTCAAAACCAAAGAAACGTCTCATCTAAAGAGTAACTCTGAGCTTATTCTGGTTAGTGGAGCTATTTTCCTCTGTTCTAAATCTGGTCAGTATCATTTTCAAAGGCGCTGTGCCACTTCGAGATACCATGTATCCCCCTCGTCGGCTGTTATGTATGCATCCATTTGTGCGTCTGAAGAACCTCGGTTTCATATCATGGCAAAATACTGTAGACCCCCGATGCCCGATACGAGCTGACGCAGGAAAAAGAGATTAACTTGCACAACGTCCACAAGTGAAGCTGAGCATCATCTCCTCTACCATCTCTATCGCGATATTCAACTGGCTGACCAGGCGCCAGCGCGGGGCCGAGGGCTATATGGTTCGACCTATGATAGCCTGAAGCGCTGTGTAGCACAGATGCATCTGCATCTGCAGTGCGCAGGTCCAGTGTGACGGACATGGAAGCTGATGCAAGGGTCCTCACGCTGACTGGACGGAATATCCGCACCAAGGGGCCCGTTTTGGATCCGTCCTTTTGAAACGCCCATGGCCTCTGGATCAATAGGCTTCTCTGCTCACTGTATCGCCACGAGGATGCCCAGAACGCTAGCTGCCTTGAGGGCTAGAACATGCCCCAAATGATCGCCTTGAAACCCACTAGCGACCGCCTTTGGTGCTGATGATGTACATGGATGGCGCTACGATTGGCCGACTATCGAGGCTCCTGGTCGTCCTGGCAAGGGGCTCAAGCGAGCTCTGTCTGAGGACTTCTTTTTTCTCTCCTCAGATACTTGATAATCCTGCCATGTGCCACTCCTGGTGACGGCTCTTCTGTTTCGAATTCTCCTCTTGTTTTGTTTTGCTATCAACTGGCCGGCCCAGCACTTTCCTTCTACATGCAGACTGATTTGGTTTTATATTTGTTTCTTACCCCCTCAACACCCTCTTCCTTCTGTTTCCTTTCGGGTCTCGTCCTTCACTGAAACTCTCAAAACATTCTTGCCAACTGTTCCAAGAGACATATACGACGATCATGGTTCCTCTGTTTAGCCCCTCTGGCTTTGGTCGTTCCAAGGATAGCCATAGCCGTTTGACTGCCAGCGCTTCACAAAAGTCGGTGCCTTCGCCAATGCCATCACCTTCGCAGCCTTCGCCTGAACCAATGGCGACTGTACTTATTGGCCCCAAGCAACAGCGCTTCAAGGTCAATAAGCGGCTATTATGTGCAACCTCGCCCTTCTTTGCCGACCGTTTTGGTGATCCTTCAAGCTCAAAGTCGATCTCGTTATGGCTACCTCGCGAATCATCCTCAATGTTCGGTCTGTTTGTTGACTGGGTTCACCTCGGTCTTCGGTTTCGTCCACATCTTGATGAGATGATATCTAATGCATACGATGCTGGTCTTGAAGCTTCTCAAAATATCCACTGGTCTCTCATCCGCTTGCACCTCTTTGCATCGCGTCTTGGACTCTATCGACTTCAGGACCTCGCCATGGACTCCATTCAGGACCTCTACCTTCGCTGCGATTGGGACGTTCCCTCTGGTCTCATTACTTTCCTCTACACAGAATGTGAGGATCTCGCTGCTATCCGACTTCGAAGATGGGCTGTCGCCATGGTCGCCTTCTCCTTCACTGGTGGGCCCCGTCTCACCTTCCACCCTCAGGAATCTGCTACTTCGGAACCCACCCGCTTCAGTGATCTACTAGAAGAGCTGCCGGAGTTTGCAAGCGACTATGACATACATATGGAAAAGATGCGGCTCTCAGGTCTCGATATTCGCTTCAAGAACCCACAGCTACGCATTCCAGCCAATCGCCTCCGCAATGATGAACGCGCATTTGGGTTCCGCCAATGTTCCTTCCACTCCCATCGCTCAAGCGTCGGCGAGCGACGATGCCCTCACGAATCAGGCTCAACAAAACACCGCCGTGTTTACCAATCATCGGTCAAGGAATCAGGGCCAGAATCCACAGGTCTAAGCGCCCCAACCCGGAGATATCGCGATGTCGTGCCCAGACCACTCTTTTCCGGACCAGTAGACTCAGATATCGGCGAGGACGACGATGACGAGATTTCAAAAGCGATAAAGCATGTAAGATCTATTTCAAGTACACTCAAGACTTGAAGGGAGACAATCATTGCAAAAGAGAGAGTGGCTGATGAGAATGAATCCGGCAAGGGGGCTGGGTGTGAAACTGATCTGCTCGATCGCTATCATGGCTCCATTGATCTCAAACAGCCCCAGGACAACTCACAGAAACTTGACTTGAAATTTGATCATCGAGATCAAACAGGACGATAACTGGATTAGATGTCGGCGAAATGAACGAGACACATCTTGGTGGTGAGCACACCTAAAAAGAGCCTGATTATTTTCTGCACCCGAGGGGGGCTAAACCAGCTCTGTTCTCGAGCACGTCCGGAAAGTCGCACCGCTGCCTCTCGGCTGGGAAGCTCGAGGACCTTTATATATCGCCTCATGTCTGTGACATGGGCCTTCGTCATACGACGATACTGGCTGTTCCACCAGTTCTTTTTTTCCTTTTCTTGTTTTTATATATATACGCAATCTAGCCAGGTCTCCTGGAGAGAGTTGGCCAAAGTTCAAGCGAGTCTTGAGAGCAAGATAATATTCTTTGTAAAATAGTATTTAATGTACATAACGACAAGATATCCTATCATAACAAGAGAATGACCAAACATCATTGACTCTTCAATTATCTCATTCTACTTTTACTCCGGAACAATATCTACGTTCACTTTCGATGGACGGTTTATTTATGCAATTATTTATGCAAAGTATTTTTATTTTGACATCATTCAGATCGTTGCTCGTTCTATGGATATCAAATTCCACTACATCATTCGTCCAAAGCTTGATACATCTTCATGGTTCGGACCCACAAGGAGCTCAATCGTGTCTCTCGTCACAACATCCCCATTTACGGCGATGTCTTTCTTGCTCATTTGCAAGGGTAAAAAATAACACGGCAAAGGTAAGGCTCTGTTTGGCCTGCATGCTGTTCGTTCCATCATATCATCATGAATTGTTGAAAGATCATCCCGTTGTGGGAAGAATTGAAAGGAAATTGACAAGTTATGTCATTGGGCGATTGTCGAGATAGAAAACGCAATGAGCACAGACGCCCGCCTGCGTGCTGGGAAATCCCAGCGTATAGAAAGAAAGGTGAAGCAAAGTGTAGAAGCAGAAGAAAACCAGAAAATGAAGGCTATCGTCAGATAGACTGCTGCTGTCTAGATGCATATGCAAATGTTGAGTCGCGGTCCCAACAAAGTATGATCAATGTGTGTGTGCGTGTGTGTGTCGGTATCCATGAACTCATAAAACTCATCAAGTGACATAACCTTGTTGAATGTACAAAGAAAAGGAAAAACATAAATGAGATGCGTTAAAGCGGTGACTCAGAACGTCGACGTGGTTGGTCTCGACGACGGAAATCCTTAAGTCTTTCGTCGATATACGCCAGTCGGCTTGCTAGCGATGATCTGGTAACTCCATGGTTGCTTTCGCTGGATTGTTGGACGGTTGCGAACGGCCGGCGAAGAGCGTCGGGGTCGTTGGCAGCTCCATGTGACAGGCGATTCGGGAAGGAAAAACTAGATCCTCCAAGAGCGAAAGGTGAGCCTAGTCGAGGGGGCGCGTCTCCAACTGGAGGAGCCAGCGTTTGCTGCTGAGCAGCTAGTGGCTGTGAAGCTTCGAAAAGCTGTTGGAGATTCTTGCGTGGGACAACGACGTCGGAGTCTATCTCAGGTTCAGTCTGAGGCGTTGCGAACTGGTCATTGGTGGCTGATAGGTCAACGATTGAAGCTGGGTCAACCCAAAGATCGGAGCCGAGACTGGGTCGCTTAATCTTCCGAGCCTCCAGATGGTTGGGCCGGCGCTTGTGGGTTGATCGGCTACGTGTAAGTCGGACCGGAGACATGAGAGCGCGGCGCGGGCCGCCTGTGTGAGTTTGTCTCTGCAACTTAGAATCCACAACGAAGTTTGAGGGTAGCGAGCTTGATGAGCTGGGGCCGTAGCTTCGCGCTCCAAAGGGAGACGCAAGTTGTGTGTGCTTTATTTCAACCGGCTCCAGCGTCTCGCGACTCGGTGGAGGAAGCGAATGTTCGTCGATTTGAGGCTCGGGTTGCGAATTTGTTAATTGAGCCAGAGGACCTTGCAGTTGCATGGAATCAGAAGTGCTAACCGCCAATGACATTGC